GCGCTCCTTCCAGGCGGAGCTCTTGAGGTTGTCCACCATCTCTGGCGGCAGCACTGCCTTGGCTCTCTCCTCCACTGTCTCCGGGCTCCACGGCTCCGGCTGCACCCACAAGGGAGAGAAGGAGAGGCAGAGAGGCATGCGCTTCAGACAGGAAGCGCTTGCTGATTGCATAGGGCAACAGCGCGAGTGGGTTGTAAGGCATGCATGGGCCCATGCGATGACATGAGGAGGGTACAGCTGTGCAATGAGCATGATGGACAACTCACCTCAATCTCCTCTGGTGGGGCAGCTGCCTGAGCCGGCTTCTTAGCATCGTTGCCTGCCTTCTTGCCACCAGCAGCCGAGCTGCCTGTCTCCACCTTGGCGCCTGTGGCTGACTGCAAAAGGGAAGAGAGAGGACCGCACACACATGCGAGCAGCACAGCGAGGCCCAACAGGGTCAGGAGCAGCACAGCAAGGCGCCACCCAGAGGAGGCGCCCAAAGCACATTTACGCATGACACTTCATTCATGGCAGTGGATAACGAGGGACAGCAGCATACGGCACAGTGAGGCATAGGTATGCATGACAGTTCTCCCAAGAGGGCGAGGGCCGGGCAGGTTGCGTCCATACCGGGCGAGCTCCGGCTTTGCCACTGAGCAAGCTGGCTGCAGACGCCTTGGCGGGAGGAGGTGCCCTGGACGCCGCCTGGCTGCCACCAGAGGTCCTGCTGGCCGTGGCTGCACACATTGACGTGGACGGAGGGACACAGGCCAGTGAGGGGGGGGGGATGGGAGGAGGGGAAGGGCGTGGAGATGAGGGAAAGACTTTGGTTTATGTGGTGTGTGTGCATAAGCGAGGAGTGGGCATGGAATGCGGGGGCAGGGAGGTGCAGCAGGGAAGGCAGCTGACCTTGAGGTGGGGCGTCGAGAGTGACGCCAGCACTGGCAATGACGTCAATGAGCTTCTTCTTGCGCACCTCATCCACCGACTCCAGGTGCCTCTCCAACGGCTTCATCCCCACACACTGCACCCACCGGCAGCAAAGGCAGGAAGCAATATGTCCGAGTCACGCCACACCAGAGGGTACATCAGGAAACTTCCAGGCCAATATGGCAAGACAAGCGCACCACAACACAGGGAAGAGAGGGCTGGAAAGAGCACAGTACCTTGGCAACGTTCGCAAGGGCGTTGAAGCCGGCCTCCCGAACATCCACAGTCCCATCTTGCAGGCTCTGCACGTTTTAGCCAGGGTCAAGGGGCAAGGATTGGTTGGTGAGTGCACGTACGATACCACTGAGCCAGCAAAGGTCCACACAAGGATGCAGTGAGCGCGGTAGAGTGTTACACGTGCCTAACCTACCTCGACGAGCATGGGGATGAGCTCCTTGTGCACCGCCATGACTTGCGGCCGCTTGCTGGCCTCGATGCACACTGCCACCCACCCCAGCACCTCCGAGCGGACCTGCGGCACCTTGTGCTTCGCGGCCGTAGTGATGTCTGATCGGGAGAACATGTAAACATGAGGGTTTATTGACATGGGTATGACAAGGAAAGTTTTTTCTCCTATATAGTTGCGGATGCTGACATGGATACAGAGGTCAATAGGGGCATGCATATGGAAAGAGCAATACGTGTGGTGAGTCACCAGCACCTGATTCCATACGGGCTGCAAGATGAGAGGGAGTGGAAGAGCCTTAGCTTACCCTCGAGTGCGTCCGTCAGCGCCAAGCACCCTGAGACGTAGAACGCCTTGAGCGTGTCTCGAATGGCCTGCACCACCGTCGGCTTCTTCTCCTTGTACCTCTCCTGAACAACACACAAACAGTGCACTGGCGTGAGACAAGCCAAGCAAGGCCGAAATCTAATCAATGAGGGGAGAAATGTCCCTCATCATCCAGAGGGAGCGTGAGAGAGCCACGTACCAATAGGGCTGGCAGCATGAGTCGTGCTCCAGATGAGAAGTCCTTCCGTAAACCCTTGGCCAGGTTGCCAGCTGCCTGAATGGCCTCCGTGGCGACTGCAATGTTCACATCTGTGGTCAGCTGCACAACGGGAACAGGACGTACACAACAGGAAAGTCCTACGTGTCAGCAAAGTAGTGGCAGGAAGAAGTCTCTACTGGCACGAATCAAGTAGTAGAAGTCAGCACAAACAATACCTTTTTCAAGCTTCGTTGAATGTCCAGAAAGTCTCCTGGTGCGATGCGTATGGTGCTCGCCAGTTTGGTCAGCTCTGCTATGGCATCGCGCCTCTCTGACCACTTGGTAGCTTTCTGAGAAACGCACACAGGGACAAGATGAGGACTCGGCGCAAATTGCAGATAAGCACAAAGCAGTCATATCCAAGCGTGCACGAGCCAGTAGTGAGACACTAAGTCAGCTAGAATGGAGGAGGCCGCTTACAATGCCGTCATAGAAGGTCGTTTTGGATAGTGGCGTCAAGATGTCTACAGGGTCCGCCAGGTCGTAGTCGTCAATCACAGGAGGAGCTGCAGCCGCACACAGGAGCACGCATTGAGAAAATGAGCACAGAGGTACGAAGACCGCCTGAGGACGCGATTGTGTTTCAGTTAACTGTTCAAAAACGCTGTAATCCCTTACCCTCAGGCTCTGCGGCCTTGGAGTCGTCTGCTGGGGCATCCAGCACCTCGGGCTCCTCAATCTCCTTCATCTGCTCTGAACGGATCCTCCTTGTCGGAACAGCACGCCCTTCGACACGCTCGAACTCAGCCTCGAGCTCCGCTTTCTGCGTGGAGCAAGCAGGGCAATTGTAGTCAATATGAGCTGTTCACTAAGAACTGAAACGGCTATGGGATCCGCAATCCCTGATGTATCCAGCGCTTACTCACCGTGGCGTCACGGAGCCCTTCAAAAAGCAAGCGCTTGACGGTGTCCTTCCCCAGCCAGCGACAGAGCTCGACAGTGAGCCCCTTGGTGCACTGCCGCACCCCCTGGTCCGCGTGGTTGAACAAGCCAGGAAGCATCTTGAACATGCGCTTCGGAGGAACCACGCCTGTTCCAAATTGGCTGCACAACAATGAAGAAAAACCACGTCAGACGACATATAATGTTAAAACGCGTCGTCAAGGACAACAATTCCGACATGAGCGAAGCGGTTATGAGAGTCACAACCGACGAGAATGCTGAATTCACCTTAGCGCTTGGTACATGGCGTCGATGGCTGGCACTACGGCCTTCGCCACTTTGTGCTTCACCGCTTTCTCCATGCAGTCCTGCACGCGGTCGCCAGGTGCAGATTAGTTTGAGTTGCATGGTGAAGCTGACCGTGAATCGACAGCAACAAGTACATTCTGCTCACCAGGAAAACCTCGACGGCCTCGAGCTCGACCCAAAGAAGGAACGAGGTCTGAGCCCTCTCGACTGTCTTAGGTCGACCCGTGAGGCACTTCGTAGCCGTAGCATCGCAGATTTCCTTGGCGAACCTAATCCATGAGAAAAGAAGTGCGTCAGGCGAGACTTATTTCGAGGCTTCACTACAAGCATTGTCGCAGATTCTCACCTCGCAACATCGGCATCTGCTGCCAACTGAAAGGCTATCAATGCATCTAAAGCCTTTTCTTGTGCAGGCGCGTTCGCATCAGACACTGCTTTCTTCAGCAAATGACCTGAAACGTGACGGACAATGAATAAGACCTCGTTCGGCAGCTTTACAGTCGAAATCGATACGTGAACGGATGCTAATACGAACCGTATTCTTTAAGCTTGGGGTCTTTCGGATCCTTAATCTTGTTGCAAGAATCTGCGATATCCAAATACACCTCGTTCCTAACCTTCCAGTTCTTATGAGCTATCCTATCTTCTAAAGGGAGCTTCTTCGCCTCCTGCAAAACCTTCTCTTCTTCTGAAGCCATGGTTCGTCTAGAAACAACACGGTTCTACGCACAAACAATATTTGACAGTATAGTAACTCGGTCACGACGCCTAAGACTTGCGAACTAGGTCAGAGAAGCGTAGCTGTTCTCAATTAGGAGGCTCTGGCTAAAAAGACTAACAGCAGGATACTCCCTAGATGTGAATGACACTGAACTGACAACAGCTGCTTGAAATCTGTTTTGTTAGTGTTAGCCGAAGCGAGTCAGGGGGACAGGTGGTGCAAAGCAAACCATCGATGCTGTCCAGAAAATTCACGCTATGGCCCGTCATGATCGAGGTCAGGTGCCAATAACGAGTGAAAGTGTTTCTTTCAGTTCAAGCGACTCGTGATTGGTGTGGTCTTTTTCTCGGTGACCTCCTCCCGCCACCCGAAGTCAGAAGGTTGGGTCGCGTGTCAGAGAGCGCTGCGTCACTTAAGGAACACAAAGTGTAATAAGGCGTAAATGGAACACAGTTCGCTCGCATTCGTAAAATAATGCAATACCATCCATCGCTCGCATACATAGAATTATGAAATCCATGATTAACTAATGATGTGTGTGCTTGTGAAAACATAATCATTTAATAGTACTGAACCTATGAATGTGCTGTACAACGGCTTATGAAGTGATTAATGAGCAATGCCACATCAGCACGACAAACTCGAAGCGGCAGCCCACTCCCGCCAAACATGTCTCACACAATGCTCACGAAACCCGATTTGTACACAAATTGGCATGCATGAGGCCAGCGAAACAGCTTTTCTCCACGCTCGTGCAGCCTTTTCGCACAGAAAATTCTGCTGGTTGCACGATGGTCAAACCAGCCCCATGTGGCGCCAGCGAAACATTTGCACGTGATTCGTTTCGTCGGCCGCGTCGCTTGACTTTTGTGGACGTGCCAATTGCGATGCTTTTGGCGATGCTCATCGCAAAGCATACTCACGCACATGATTGCGCATATAGTTGCTTGATCACCCTTCCTCTCCCCATTGCGAACGAGCAGGCCGTTATATAGATTCAGTCTTTGCATGTGATGTGACTGCGGTTGCGTGCTTTCATGCGCCTATTCTAGAAGGCCCGATCTAAGGCGAGCCTTGGCTGTAGCGTTCTCGCACCCCTCATCTCGTTTACAGCTATCGAAATAATGGCTTCGCGGCTACGCCTCAGCTGGACTCTTGCCATTGTGTTGCTCGTCGCGGTTGTGGGATTTCCTGCATCAGTGATGGGATACGACACGTCGTTTGACCGATACTTTCAGTTCGCGCCGTATTGCAAAGGGCAGTACTACTGCGAGCGCAAGGGCGATGGAACCGTCGCGATTTCCGCCCACTGGAACAAAGTCGGAGGTACATTTGGTGCTTTTTATCTAACCTTAGTGTGCGTGTGAATTTGCGTTAAGTGGTAGATCCCCCCGTTCCCATGCCGTATGATCGTCATGCCTGTTGTTTCTTGTCGCATTTGCATAAAATGTCTACTGATTTTTGCATATCGTTGCTGTTGATGTCTTTGCGCGCCAGCCTTTGCCTCGTACGGAATGTACCAGTACGGCATATTCAGCGTGAAGATGAAGATGCCGGCCGGCTACTCCGGCGGCATCATTCCGTGCTTCTACCTCATCTCGGGTGGTAGCCCGGGTTACAAGGACATTCACGACGAGATCGACTTCGAGATCCTGGGCGCGGAGAACCCGCGCGATATGATCATCCACACCAACCTCATCACGGGCGGCCAGACCAACCTCGAGCAGGTGCGTTGCGAGTTCCAAACGAGCAGACGAGTCCTGGTTTTCGATGTGATTTCTCATGATGACGGTTTTTTGCAGCACGCTCTTCCGCATCCTTCAGGGAAATAGGTTCACCTTTCGTGCTCGCATTGTCTCCTTAACCCTAACGCCTCCATGTCCTCCTGCCCTGATTCTCTTCTCCCCTTTTCTCCGCAGTTCCGCTTCCCGTTCGACCCGTCGGCGGACTTCCACACGTACACGATCATCTACTCGCCGCGCTTCATCGTGTGGCGGATCGACAACACGCCCATCCGCGTCACCCTCAAGACCCCCGGCAGACCCTTCCCCTCCGAGCCCGTTCAAGTCAAGGTAAGTCCCTTTCCCGAGCAGCAAACTCTCTGTCTCAAACCACCAGCAGAATAAGCCGTGACTACCAGAAAAGGCTATCACTAACAAGAATAGTACTCTTCCCGTCACACTTTCCTCAACTTCCCCTCCGCCTCCACATGGCGAATCCGGGTCTAAACAGCTATTCTTATGCTGTCTTCTGAACCCCTCTACCCAAGCAGGCATCCATCTGGGACGCGTCGAGCTGGAGTCCATTGAAGCCCGACTGGAACAAGGGCAAGGTGACGGCCGAATTCAAGAATTTCGACCTGAGCATGGCATGCGCCGTTCCGCCCACGGGCAAGCGCCCCGCATGCGCGGATGAGACGAACAGGCAGAAGGCGCCGTGGCTGTACAACCTTGGGCCCAGGCAGGTTCAGAATTTCAAGAAGTTCAGGAGGAGTTATGTGAAGGCTTCGTATGGCTGGGAGGTGATTCAGTAAGGCGTGGGGAAGGAAATAAAAGGGGGATTGCTGACTGATGCATCAAACAGAGCAGTCCATAACCAAGTTCAATAGATTTCCCTAGGACGTCGTTTGGTGATAATATCTGGGATGTGGTCCCAGTGCTGATTCTCTAATAATAGAGTATTGCTTGCTATGCTTGCTATTCACTTTGGCATAGCTGAACTCCAGAAACATCTGAGCACTACATAGCCATCATGCACAGCCATCAATGCTTTACATGGACTGTGCATGATGGCTAGTGGCTGGCACACTTCCAGGAAACAGCCATGAACGGCTGCATTACTCTTTCTCATGCCTTCCCTTCAGATGCTAATGCCCACCCAGAATGTACTGACACAAAGTAGCAATTCCATCCAAGTTAGCTTCCTGTAAAGCATCTTGTAATTGCAATCAGACATGAGCTGCACTGAAAGTGCACACTTCTTATGATGTTCCAACTTTTACTGGTGCCCAAACTTTGAAACATGGCTAGCTAGATTCTCAAGATAGATGCTCTGCTTCTAGTGGATACTGTGAGGGACACAATGAGAAGGCAATCCTATAGGTACATATCCGGCTTCTGTGAAGCACATTAAATGTTTGAATGGTGTTTCCTATCTCAAAGCACCATCTTACAGTGTGCCATTCTCTAAATTTGCGCTCTTGAGAGGCATATTAACGGACGATCAATAGAACCTCTCGAAGGTGTACCAAAGAGAACCCCAATTTTGTACGCCATATGAACCAGTTGGAGCTTGCCGGAGTTGATTTTCCATACACAGTGCGGAAATGTATCGAGCCAGAACCACATCCGACCCGATCTACAAGCAGACTGATCCTGATGTCATGCACTTCACGTGACGGGGATTGATAAACAAGCCCTTCTCGTGGCTCGAACCTCCTGATTGATCCTTGCCACGTCACAAACTGCTTCTGCTTGAGATTCGTCACGAGCTTTCAGAGCTAGAGATTCCATCCGTGATATCTAGATCAGAGCTTTAAAGCCAGGGTCTCAAGTACTACAAGTGTTTTGCAGTTGCTGGTGAAAGTTGGGCTGCGATTGGTTGGCGAGGTGAAAGGTTTGAAGTGGGGAGAAGCGAGGGGTGCGAAGTGAACGCAAATCGTTGGGTGTACCCGAACCTTCTAGGTTTGGAAACTTGGTTCGGAGCCAAACCTAAAATGCCCCCAACTCATCGAAAGTCTCAAGTACTCAAAAGTGTTGTGCAATCGCTTCTGGGGTGTGTCGCAAGCTGATTTTTCAACCTAACCAGAAAGAACTTCGTCGGCAATAACTAGGTAACCTAGCGTCAACTGCTTTGCAGTTGACGACTCCTTAGCTTACTTGAGACCCTGGCTTTAATGTAAATCCGATTCAAACCGGACCGAACAGAGCACGGACTATGCATCGCTTTTTTGCTGCCAAATCTCGCCCCCAGAACCAGACCAGACCAGACCATTGATGTTTTCCCGGGACGCCAATTTGGATCTCCCTCCCCCGATTCTTGAATGTGCTGACTCACCTCAGCTCATCAATCAAATCGAGAATCGTGCTCGCGCGCGCGGCATTTTTCGAGCTTCCGCGCGCCCCTTCCTTGCCTCCCCTGCTTCGCTCCCCCCATTTCCTCCTTCTTTCCCCCCATTCCGCCCATCCCTTCCGCCCCCTCCACCTTGCACCCTGCCTTCCCCCTCCACCCCGCCCGTTGGCCACTGCAAGAGTCAGCAGCAGATGCCGCTGCAAAGCTCGTCGTTTCCTCCCCAATGTGTGGCGCGGGGAGGAGGGAGAGCTGAAATCGTGAGATGTGGAATTCAGAAACAAATCCGCAGAACCACGAGATTCGAATCACAAGATTAGTTCAGCAGCGCTGCTGCTGCTGCATTCATTTTGCCCAGCGCTGCTGAGAGCGGGGATTGCTGTGATATCTATCCATCACCGCGCGGACTGCTCCCTAAACGCTACGCACTGCTCTCGGCGATATGCTTCAGCCGCCTGAACGTAGATCGTCGCGGGATCGATTCACCCAAGGGAAAATCAGAGCGAGGCATCAGTCTTTGAATCACGGAAATCCGACCCAGCGACATTTAGTACGGGCCCACAAGGGACCTTACAACATAAGAGCAGAAATGATTCAGCGGTCCGCCATGGTTCGATTGATAACTCTACTCCCCGCGCGATTACGTCAGTTACACGACTGCTCAAGTCTACGAGAAAAGCCCTTGTATCTGACACTCACGTCTGCACCGACGTTCCGCAGTTCCACTATCTTTTCTCGTCCCGAAATAAGTTTTACCTGTCTTTCCGTGTGTATTTCTAAAGCAACGCTTTGGCCGTGGCTGTTGGTAGTCCTTCATTCCCACGCCCATCTAGCTCGTCCTAGTATTATCCAAGTCGATGAGTCCCAGACCTAGTCCCGACAGCGACCCGCCGCAGCCGCGAACGGGCCTGACGTCTCCAATCACATCCGCGTTCGCCGGCGGATCGAACGCGAGCGCCGATGCATCTTTCTACGCCACTTCTGGTAGTGCTGCTGCCGCCAATCTGTCTTGGAGCGCTCCCAGGCGCGCCGATAGGGTGGGGAAAGGCGCCAAAGGCGGGCCGGAGAACGCGCTGCACGGCTTTCGCGGAGTGCGGCAGCGCAGTTGGGGGAAGTGGGTGGCGGAGATCCGCGCGCCGCGCAGCAAGAAGCGCATCTGGCTGGGATCGTTTGCAGACGCGCGGACTGCTGCGCTGACGTACGACCGCGCAGCGTGGAAGTTGTACGGGCCGCGCGCGCAGCTCAACTTCTTCGACGGGGCGGCAGTTTCGGCGCCCGCCAGCAGCCACCCTCACGGCGCAAGCTTGCGCGCCGCCGACGCCCGCAGCGGCTTGATCAGCAGCGGAAGCGGCAGCGGCGGGAGTGCCGCGAGCGACAGCGAAGGCGGCGCTTTTGCAGGCGTGATTAACGGCGGCGTTGGAGGCGGAGAGAGAACGAGCCGCTCCGTCGAAACGCCTGCGCATGTACCGCGCTGCGCGTCGAGCGACGACGCGACGCCTCTGTCACTGGCGAGGTTCGCGTTCACCGGCGGCGCGCCGTTTCTAACGCGAGACTCCAACCCAGCGGAGAGCACCGTTAGTGCAGCCATGGCGGCGGCCTCCCGAACCGCGTCGCTCAACGCAGAAACTCTCGCTGCAGCGCGATGTGACTACATCGATGCCCTGCCACTGCCCAGCATGACCTTCCAAGAAATCTTTAACCGCTCGTGTCCGCCGCTCACCGCGCCCGCCGCGGCGTCTACCTCGGTATCCGCGCTCGGCGCGCGCGCCCCGTCAGCGGAGAAGCGCGGGATGTGGCAGGGGCCGGTTGAGTCGTTCCGCGCGCCCGCGGCGAGCAGCGCGGGGCGCGTCGACCCGTCGGCGGAGAGCGGGCAACTGAAGCGCGGGGAGCAGCAGCAGGCTGAGGAGTCTATGGCTGGCTCCGGTTTTGAGTCGACTCAGAAGGAGGCCGCGGCGTGCTCTGGCTGGAGTCATGGCGGTGGCATTGCTACGCACAGCATTGTGAATTGGAATCGGAACAACCAGGATCGTGACTTGAGTCAGGGAGTTTCCGCTGGCCTGGGAAGCGAGGGGGCGAGCATGCGTTTTCCTCCGTGCCCCGCTGTTTTGCCCGCCCAGCTGAGTCAGCAACCCGCTTTGACGGTGCGTGGGGGGCTTGTTCCGTACGGCAGCATTTTTGCAAGCCCCCCGGTCATGTCAGTGGGCGGCATGCACACACCTGGCATGGCAGTGCCGTGGGGGTGTGGCGGAGCAGTCTCGTGGGTGCATGAGAGAACGATGGTGCAGCAAGGGGCGATGGCTCAAGAGGGAGTGATGGCGCAGGATGGAGCGATAGTGCAGGCGCTGAGGGAGAGCAGAGCGCAGCTGATTCGGGAGCAGATGGGCGGCAGTGGTGGCGCCGTGTCTGCTGGGAACGCTTGGATTGCTAGCAATGCTTGGACTGCTGGCAGTGCTGGTGCTGGGGTGCAGGAGGGGGCGATGGTGCAGGCGCTGAGGGAGAGCAGGGCGCAGCTGGTGCGGGAACAGATGGGCAGCATTGGTAGCGCTGTGTCTGCTGGGAACGTTTGGGCTGCTGAGACTGGTGGTGCTGAGACTGATAGCGCTGTGACTGCTGGGGCTGCTGGGTGTGCTGGTGCAGGGGTGTGGAGTGGTAGGTGCACGGATGGGGCAGATGCAGTGCAGGGTGGGGGAGCAGGCATGGAGCATGGTGAGCTGGACGCAGCAGCCATAGAGCGCATGCTGCAGCTCTCAGAAGACCTGCTCGGTCCAGAGGACCCCCCTCCTCATGGCCAACACATCCCCCTTGGACACAGGGACCCTCCCCCTCATGGTGCCAATGCCCCTCATGGCCGTGTGGTCACTCACGCCTCTGATGCGGCTGCATTGGAGGAAACCAGTGCGGTGCTGGCATACGGTGATTACCAGTGTCTGGCCACCGGACTGCCTCATGCCATGCCGAGCTCCAAGCCTACTGCCGTGCCCCACTCGTGCTCCCTGCATGTCTCTCTGCCTGGCTCTGTGCCGCACGCTGCTGCTGCTGTTGCTGCTTGTGAGCCTGTGTGCGGCCTTGCTGACCTGGTAACACCTGTGTCCCCCTCCCCCTTGTGCATGGGAGGGGAGCTAACAGTGCCTGGCAGCCATTGCATGCTGCCACCTGCAGTGCACATGGCACCATGTGAGCCGGCATCGAGTGCTGTCAATGCTCTCACCATTGACGTTGCCCAGGAAGACCAGCCGCCGTGTTTTGAGGAACTGCTGTCCCCCATGTCTAGGCTCTGGTAGTGGTGTGTTGGGTGGCAGGCTGTGAGATACGTCCTCCTGTATATATTACTGTATGCCAGTGATTACCTTATGCCATTGATTACGCTCAGGGCTGACGCTATCAGAGTAAATAGTCTGATTAGTCTGACGGATCAGACCATCGAGTTTGTGAAAAATGGAATCCCAGAGTAGTCAAGTTTTCATCACTGAGAGCCTCAGAGTTATTGTTTTATGGCCCCTGATTCAGTGTAATAGGCCTCAGTGTTAGTCATTTCTGGAGTCTGTCACTACAGAGTATGCGTTCTGTGGTCCCTGCATGCAAGTTTATCGGGAGGAAGCTTCCTCGAAATTTTCTTTCGATAACACCCACCTCCGAGGTGTCAGAGCCCTGACACAGCAGATTTGAGCTGTCAGAGCACAAAGGTCTTGACCAATCACAGTAAAATGTATCTTAGATGGCGTTCCTGAGATGGGGCCCCATCAATTGCCATGGTCGGTGCAACAACATTGGTCCACCGTGGCAGAATTTGATTCTGGTCACACCACCACACGTGCCTGGCGACGGGAGTCGCCTGGGGCGAAAACCATGAAATATTTGGATCAACGAATCACATGCTTTTGTATTAACGTTCATGTGACAAGTTTAAACGTTCCAACCCAGTCTCGCAAGTGTGGTCCGATTCCAATCCAGTCACGACTGGGTTCCGTGACAGTAAAAAACGGCTGTCGTTCAGACAGCCACATACTCCCATGGTCGAGAACACACTGGGTGGGAACCGATAGATGATTTTCATTCTTTTTTTGTTACGCGACAGTCTAGCTTGACTCGTTCTGACGTTCGGAGGCAAGGAAAGTTAACGTGAGGCAATTTTGCACGACCCTCGGCTGCCCACTCATGCGACGTCCACATTCACCCCCCACCTTGCTGCCATGCCACGGGCACGTGTTTCGTGCACTGTTGCTTGGGGCCACGTCGGATGGGGCCGAATGGGGCCCCATCTCAGGAACGCCATCTGAGATGGCGTTCCTGAGATGGGGGAAGTCCGGAGTGCTGCACTATTGGTCCAGCGTGGCAGTCCTGGGTATTTTGCACACTCACCACACGTGCCATGCGATGTCAGTCTCATTGTGCGCGAAAAACAAGTGAGAAAACTTCCAACCAATCACATGCATCTGTATTCAACGTTCATGCGCCAATTCCAAATGGCCACAATCTCCCATAACACGGTCGAAAACAGTCTGGGGGGAACCCGATGAAAAACAGATTGCTGTGTGGTGACCGTGAAACGAAATTGCTTTCTGCTGTTGGATTGGCGCCTGTTTTTCCTTTTCCATTTGTCACGTTATTCTTTGACCTTTCTGAACATGCCAAACCCAGTCACGACTCGGTCCTGTGACAGTCAAAAACGTCAGTGGTTCTGACGTTGGGCGTCAGGGGAAGTTGCCATGCGCAAAAATCGCACGACCCTCACCGCCCAACTCATGCGACGTCCAGATTCACTCCCCCCGTTGCTGCCATGCCTTAGGCACGTGTTCTGTGCACTGTTGCTGGGGGAAGTTCGGATGGGGCCCCATCTCAGGAACGCCATCTGACATTGCACATTCGCCCTTTCACAGAACAGATTCGCCATCAAAGTTCAGTTTCGATAATGCACAGCGCGTTACTACACGTACACTGATCGTGACTTCTCGACCCTGAACACTCAGACTGTATAACTTCCCAACACTGAGCAATCAGGGTGCTGCTTTTCTGGAAAATATGCCTTCAGGGTTAAATTTTTTTTTTTTAGGTGGACATCAGGGTACCTAAATTTGAAACGTCAGCCCTGATTACGCTTATACTACTTGTTGCAGGTTCTCTATGAATATTTGCCCCACCCAGTGATTGAATGGCTAGTGAGGAATGGGATCGGGAAAGAAATAACATGCTAGCCTGCAATGATAACGTACTGCATGCCGTAATACTAGTACCAGTATGATATAAATATTATAATTTTTAAACACACATGTAGTGTTTTTTAAAATTGTGTATTGTGAAAGCGAAGCTGCTTGTACTGCACAATTGGCATCGTCGAAGCGCGCTAAACGCCCTTCTCCAACTACCAAAAAAAAAAAAAAAAAAAAAAACCGTGGGTTGGAGCTCATTTCCCTCCACCCACGTTTCTCAATTTTCAAACGGCTCACTCAACATTCCCACCACCCACCCCAGTGTAAACCGCCTTGCTAATGCCACTTGGATAGGGTACATAATAGCTAGTGTTATTAGTCTGCACTAGCTTATGTCGAACGATGATGCAAATGTTGTAATACGCCATTTGTAATGAGAACGATGCCAATTGATAAGAAAGAAAGCAAGCTTTCTCAATATGCAATTGTACTAAGTACTGGTTGGGTAGCTGGCTGAAAATCGGGTCGTACACAGCACATAGAATATTCCCCAAACAGACCAGCCAGGCCAAATCGCAAAACCTGACATCTGATCCAAGGAATTGCCAGCACTGATTTATCATGCAATGCGGTGGCAGCCATGCTTGCCTTGCCACATCCCTCCACAGTTCCTCTTCTCATCGAGCTCCATTTCCATCCAGTGCAGCCGTTCTGTAGATGGCATGCTGGCATGCCACACCATGCCATGTCACACAATTCTATCCATGCCACACCATGCCATGCCACACCATGCCATGTCACACCATTCCATCCATGCCACACCATGCCATGTCACACCATTCCATGCCACATCATGCCATGCCACAGCAGCAGCAGTCTCGTGGGTGCAGGAGAGAACGATGGTGCAGCAGGGGGCGATGACACTGGATAGAGTGATGGTGCAGGCACTGAGGGAGAGCAGGGCGCAACTGGTGCGCGAGCAGATGGGCAGCAATGGGAGTGCTGTGACTGCTGGGAACGCTTGGGCTGCTGGCACTGCTGAGATTGCTGGTGCCGGGGTGCCAGAGAGAACAGTGGAGCAGCAGGGGGCGATGGTGCAGGCACTGAGGGAGAGCAGGGTGCAGCTGGTGCGGGAGCAGATGGGTGTCAGTGTTGGTGTCACTGCAGTCACTCATGGGAACGCTTGGGCTGCTGGGACTGCAGGGACTGTTGGGAAAGCTGGAGCAGGGGTGTGGAGTGGTAGGTGCACGGATGAGGCAGATGCAGTGCAAGCAGGAGGAACAGGCATGCAGGAGGAGCAGGCATGCAGGAGGAGCAGGAATGCAGGAGGAGCAGGCATGGAGCATGGTGTGCAGGACGCAGCAGCCATAGAGCGCATGGTGTGCAGGACGCAGCAGCCACAGAGCGCATGGTGTGCAGGACGCAGCAGCCATAGAGCGCATGGTGTGCAGGACGCAGCAGCCATAGAGCGCATGGTGTGCAGGAAGCAGCAGCCATAGAGCGCATGGTGTGTTGGATGCAGCAGCATGGTGGTGTGCAGGATGTAGCAGCCAGTGAAACCACTGCTTTCACGAGCAAGACAAGTTCAAAGAGTGCCAGCCAATCAGGTATCATAGAACAACCTACAAATATCAATGAAACCTCTCTTGGCCATCAGGACTGTTGCCCCGATGTTCACCCGAACACCACGATGAGGTGGAGGTTCGACGTTCGGGAAAAAATGTTTTATGTTAATGCTCAATGTATGATGCGAATGCTCAATGCACAATGTCCACCCCGTACCTGGACCACAGCAATGGCCATTGTCACCAACAACCATGAGGGTCCCACCTTGCCAGCACAAGGAGGAGCATCCAGAACACTCCCTTTTGGAAACAACACGTCTCGAGTGGTTGCTTTTTGAGGTGCAAACAGAGGAAGCGGAAAAGCGCGAACTGGCACAAGACTCAAATCCACCCCCTGGCGTAGCATGAGCTTGCCCGAACCAGAGCCGGCCGGCTCGGCTCCAGCAGGGCCTATTGTGCTTTAACGCCAGGTTCGTTACTTGAGCACCGAGGGCCGTCGCCGCGCTAGTTCCCCAGCCACCCCCGCACAACAAGCCACAAACCACCCAAGGGCCCTGCCCCTAAGGAAATGAACTGCATACTACCTCCCATGCTTTACCTCTTCCCATCACCACACAGGCACATACCACCCCATAACACCTTCATAGCAATAGGAGAAAAACACAGAGACCCCCTTTCGGAAACAACACGTCTCGAGTGGATGTATTTTGAGGTGCAAAGAGAGGAGCGGAAAAGCGCGAACTAGCACAAGACTCAAATCCACCCCCTGGCGTAGCATGAGCTTGCCCGAACCAGAGCCGGCCAGCTCGGCTCCAGCAGGGCCTATTGTGCTTTAACGCCATGTTCGTTACTTGAGCACCGAGGGCCGTCGCAGCACTAGTTCCCCAGCCAGCCCCGCACAACAAGCCACAAACCACCCAAGGGCACTGCCCTTAAGAAAGTGCACTGCATGATTGCACCCATGCTTTAACTTTACCTACACACTCACCCTCAATCCCCAAGGCAGGCACACTCAATGCAGGAGGCACAAGGAAAGGAGGCACGGTCAATGCAGGAGGCTCAAGGAAGGAGGCACGGTCAATGCAGGATGCGCAAGGAAGGAGGCACGGTCAATGCAGGAGGCGCAAGGAAGGAGGCACGGTCAATGCAGGAGGCGCAAGGAAGGAGGCACGGTCACTGCAGGAGGCGCAAGGAAGGAGGCACGGTCACTGCAGGAGGCGCAAGGAAGGAGGCACGGTCACTGCAGGAGGCGCAAGGAAGGAGGCACGGTCACTGCAGGAGGCGCAAGGAAGGAGGCACGGTCACTGCAGGAGGCGCAAGGAAGGAGGCACGGTCACTGCAGGAGGCGCAAGGAAGGAGGCACGGTCACTGCAGGAGGCGCAAGGAAGGAGGCACGGTCACTGCAGGAGGCGCAAGGAAGGAGGCACGGTCACTGCAGGAGGCGCAAGGAAGGAGGCACGCTCACTGCAGGAGGCGCAAGGAAGGAGGCACGCTCACTGCAGGAGGCGCAAGGAAGGAGGCACGCTCACTGCAGGAGGCGCAAGGAAGGAGGCACGGTGACTGCAGGAGGTGCAAGGAAGGAGGCACGGTGACTGCAGGACGCGCAAGGAAGGAGGCACGGTCACTGCAGGACGCGCAAGGAAGGAGGCACGGTCACTGCAGGACGCGCAAGGAAGGAGGCACGGTCACTGCAGGACGCGCAAGGAAGGAGGCACGGTCACTGCAGGACGCGCAAGGAAGGAGGCACGCTCACTGCAGGACGCGCAAGGAAGGAGGCACGCTCACTGCAGGACGCGCAAGGAAGGAGGCACGCTCACTGCAGGAGGCGCAAGGAAGGAGGCACGCTCACTGCAGGACGCGCAAGGAAGGAGGCACGCTCACTGCAGGAGGCGCAAGGAAGGAGGCACGGTCACTGCAGGAGGCGCAAGGAAGGAGGCACGGTCACTGCAGGAGGCGCAAGGAAGGAGGCACGGTCACTGCAGGAGGCGCAAGGAAGGAGGCACGGTCACTGCAGGAGGCGCAAGGAAGGAGGCACGGTCACTGCAGGAGGCGCAAGGAAGGAGGCACGGTCACTGCAGGAGGCGCAAGGAAGGAGGCACGGTCACTGCAGGAGGCGCAAGGAAGGAGGCACGGTCACTGCAGGAGGCGCAAGGAAGGAGGCACGGTCACTGCAGGAGGCGCAACGAAGGAGGCACGGTCACTGCAGGAGGCGCAACGAAGGAGGCACGGTCACTGCAGGAGGCGCAACGAAGGAGGCACGGTCACTGCAGGAGGCGCAAGGAAGGAGGCACGGTGACTGCAGGAGGCGCAAGGAAGGAGGCACGGTGACTGCAGGAGGCGCAAGGAAGGAGGCACGGTGACTGCAGGAGGCGCAAGGAAGGAGGCACGGTGACTGCAGGAGGCGCAAGGAAGGAGGCACGGTGACTGCAGGAGGCGCAAGGAAGGAGGCACGGTGACTGCAGGAGGCGCAAGGAAGGAGGCACGGTGACTGCAGGAGGCGCAAGGAAGGAGGCACGGTGACTGCAGGAGGCGCAAGGAAGGAGGCACGGTGACTGCAGGAGGCGCAAGGAAGGAGGCACGGTGACTGCAGGAGGCGCAAGGAAGGAGGCACGGTGACTGCAGGAGGCGCAAGGAAGGAGGCACGGTGACTGCAGGAGGCGCAAGGAAGGAGGCACGCTGACTGCAGGAGGCGCAAGGAAGGAGGCACGGTGACTGCAGGAGGCGCAAGGAAGGAGGCACGGTCACTGCAGGAGGCGCAAGGAAGGAGGCACGCTGACTGCAGGAGGCGCAAGGAAGGAGGCACGGTCACTGCAGGAGGCGCAAGGAAGGAGGCACGGTCACTGCAGGAGGCGCAAGGAAGGAGGCACGGTCACTGCAGGAGGCGCAAGGAAGGAGGCACGGTCACTGCAGGAGGCGCAAGGAAGGAGGCACGCTCACTGCAGGAGGCGCAAGGAAGGAGGCACGCTCACTGCAGGAGGCGCAAGGAAGGAGGCACGCTCACTGCAGGAGGCGCAAGGAAGGAGGCACGCTCACTGCAGGAGGCGCAAGGAAGGAGGCACGCTCACTGCAGGAGGCGCAAGGAAGGAGGCACGCTCACTGCAGGAGGCGCAAGGAAGGAGGCACGCTCACTGCAGGACGCGCAAGGAAGGAGGCACGCTCACCGCAGGACGCGCAAGGAAGGAGGCACGCTCACCGCAGGACGCGCAAGGAAGGAGGCACGCTCACCGCAGGACGCGCAAGGAAGGAGGCACGCTCACCGCAGGACGCGCAAGGAAGGAGGCACGCTCACCGCAGGACGCGCAAGGAAGGAGGCACGCTCACCGCAGGACGCGCAAGGAAGGAGGCACGCTCACCGCAGGACGCGCAAGGAAGGAGGCACGCTCACCGCAGGACGCGCAAGGAAGGAGGCACGCTCACCGCAGGACGCGCAAGGAAGGAGAGGAGGCACGCTCACCGCAGGACGCGCAAGGAAGGAGGCACGCTCACCGCAGGACGCGCAAGGAAGGAGGCACGCTCACCGCAGGACGCGCAAGGAAGGAGGCACGCTCACCGCAGGACGCGCAAGGAAGGAGGCACGCTCACCGCAGGACGCGCAAGGAAGGAGGCACGCTCACCGCAGGACGCGCAAGGAAGGAGGCACGCTCACCGCAGGACGCGCAAGGAAGGAGGCACGCTCACCGCAGGACGCGCAAGGAAGGAGGCACGCTCACCGCAGGACGCGCAAGGAAGGAGGCACGCTCACCGCAGGACGCGCAAGGAAGGAGGCACGCTCACCGCAGGACGCGCAAGGAAGGAGGCACGCTCACCGCAGGACGCGCAAGGAAGGAGGCACGCTCACCGCAGGACGCGCAAGGAAGGAGGCACGCTCACCGCAGGACGCGCAAGGAAGGAGGCACGCTCACCGCAGGACGCGCAAGGAAGGAGGCACGCTCACCGCAGGACGCGCAAGGAAGGAGGCACGCTCACCGCAGGACGCGCAAGGAAGGAGGCACGCTCACCGCAGGACGCGCAAGGAAGGAGGCACGCTCACCGCAGGACGCGCAAGGAAGGAGGCACGCTCACCGCAGGACGCGCAAGGAAGGAGGCACGCTCACCGCAGGACGCGCAAGGAAGGAGGCACGCTCACCGCAGGACGCGCAAGGAAGGAGGCACGCTCACCGCAGGACGCGCAAGGAAGGAGGCACGCTCACCGCAGGACGCGCAAGGAAGGAGGCACGCTCACCGCAGGACGCGCAAGGAAGGAGGCACGCTCACCGCAGGACGCGCAAGGAAGGAGGCACGCTCACCGCAGGACGCGCAAGGAAGGAGGCACGCTCACCGCAGGACGCGCAAGGAAGGAGGCACGCTCACCGCAGGACGCGCAAGGAAGGAGGCACGCTCACCGCAGGACGCGCAAGGAAGGAGGCACGCTCACCGCAGGACGCGCAAGGAAGGAGGCACGCTCACCGCAGGACGCGCAAGGAAGGAGGCACGCTCACCGCAGGACGCGCAAGGAAGGAGGCACGCTCACCGCAGGACGCGCAAGGAAGGAGGCACGCTCACCGCAGGACGCGCAAGGAAGGAGGCACGCTCACCGCAGGACGCGCAAGGAAGGAGGCACGCTCACCGCAGGACGCGCAAGGAAGGAGGCACGCTCACCGCAGGACGCGCAAGGAAGGAGGCACGCTCACCGCAGGACGCGCAAGGAAGGAGGCACGCTCACCGCAGGACGCGCAAGGAAGGAGGCACGCTCACCGCAGGACGCGCAAGGAAGGAGGCACGCTCACCGCAGGACGCGCAAGGAAGGAGGCACGCTCACCGCAGGACGCGCAAGGAAGGAGGCACGCTCACCGCAGGACGCGCAAGGAAGGAGGCACGCTCACCGCAGGACGCGCAAGGAAGGAGGCACGCTCACCGCAGGACGCGCAAGGAAGGAGGCACGCTCACCGCAGGACGCGCAAGGAAGGAGGCACGCTCACCGCAGGACGCGCAAGGAAGGAGGCACGCTCACCGCAGGACGCGCAAGGAAGGAGGCACGCTCACCGCAGGACGCGCAAGGAAGGAGGCACGCTCACCGCAGGACGCGCAAGGAAGGAGGCACGCTCACCGCAGGACGCGCAAGGAAGGAGGCACGCTCACCGCAGGACGCGCAAGGAAGGAGGCACGCTCACCGCAGGACGCGCAAGGAAGGAGGCACGCTCACCGCAGGACGCGCAAGGAAGGAGGCACGCTCACCGCAGGACGCGCAAGGAAGGAGGCACGCTCACCGCAGGACGCGCAAGGAAGGAGGCACGCTCACCGCAGGACGCGCAAGGAAGGAGGCACGCTCACCGCAGGACGCGCAAGGAAGGAGGCACGCTCACCGCAGGACGCGCAAGGAAGGAGGCACGCTCACCGCAGGACGCGCAAGGAAGGAGGCACGCTCACCGCAGGACGCGCAAGGAAGGAGGCACGCTCACCGCAGGACGCGCAAGGAAGGAGGCACGCTCACCGCAGGACGCGCAAGGAAGGAGGCACGCTCACCGCAGGACGCGCAAGGAAGGAGGCACGCTCACCGCAGGACGCGCAAGGAAGGAGGCACGCTCACCGCAGGACGCGCAAGGAAGGAGGCACGCTCACCGCAGGACGCGCAAGGAAGGAGGCACGCTCACCGCAGGACGCGCAAGGAAGGAGGCACGCTCACCGCAGGACGCGCAAGGAAGGAGGCACGCTCACCGCAGGACGCGCAAGGAAGGAGGCACGCTCACCGCAGGACGCGCAAGGAAGGAGGCACGCTCACCGCAGGACGCGCAAGGAAGGAGGCACGCTCACCGCAGGACGCGCAAGGAAGGAGGCACGCTCACCGCAGGACGCGCAAGGAAGGAGGCACGCTCACCGCAGGACGCGCAAGGAAGGAGGCACGCTCACCGCAGGACGCGCAAGGAAGGAGGCACGCTCACCGCAGGACGCGCAAGGAAGGAGGCACGCTCACCGCAGGACGCGCAAGGAAGGAGGCACGCTCACCGCAGGACGCGCAAGGAAGGAGGCACGCTCACCGCAGGACGCGCAAGGAAGGAGGCACGCTCACCGCAGGACGCGCAAGGAAGGAGGCACGCTCACCGCAGGACGCGCAAGGAAGGAGGCACGCTCACCGCAGGACGCGCAAGGAAGGAGGCACGCTCACCGCAGGACGCGCAAGGAAGGAGGCACGCTCACCGCAGGACGCGCAAGGAAGGAGGCACGCTCACCGCAGGACGCGCAAGGAAGGAGGCACGCTCACCGCAGGACGCGCAAGGAAGGAGGCACGCTCACCGCAGGACGCGCAAGGAAGGAGGCACGCTCACCGCAGGACGCGCAAGGAAGGAGGCACGCTCACCGCAGGACGCGCAAGGAAGGAGGCACGCTCACCGCAGGACGCGCAAGGAAGGAGGCACGCTCACCGCAGGACGCGCAAGGAAGGAGGCACGCTCACCGCAGGACGCGCAAGGAAGGAGGCACGCTCACCGCAGGACGCGCAAGGAAGGAGGCACGCTCACCGCAGGACGCGCAAGGAAGGAGGCACGCTCACCGCAGGACGCGCAAGGAAGGAGGCACGCTCACCGCAGGACGCGCAAGGAAGGAGGCACGCTCACCGCAGGACGCGCAAGGAAGGAGGCACGCTCACCGCAGGACGCGCAAGGAAGGAGGCACGCTCACCGCAGGACGCGCAAGGAAGGAGGCACGCTCACCGCAGGACGCGCAAGGAAGGAGGCACGCTCACCGCAGGACGCGCAAGGAAGGAGGCACGCTCACCGCAGGACGCGCAAGGAAGGAGGCACGCTCACCGCAGGACGCGCAAGGAAGGAGGCACGCTCACCGCAGGACGCGCAAGGAAGGAGGCACGCTCACCGCAGGACGCGCAAGGAAGGAGGCACGCTCACCGCAGGACGCGCAAGGAAGGAGGCACGCTCACCGCAGGACGCGCAAGGAAGGAGGCACGCTCACCGCAGGACGCGCAAGGAAGGAGGCACGCTCACCGCAGGACGCGCAAGGAAGGAGGCACGCTCACCGCAGGACGCGCAAGGAAGGAGGCACGCTCACCGCAGGACGCGCAAGGAAGGAGGCACGCTCACCGCAGGACGCGCAAGGAAGGAGGCACGCTCACCGCAGGACGCGCAAGGAAGGAGGCACGCTCACCGCAGGACGCGCAAGGAAGGAGGCACGCTCACCGCAGGACGCGCAAGGAAGGAGGCACGCTCACCGCAGGACGCGCAAGGAAGGAGGCACGCTCACCGCAGGACGCGCAAGGAAGGAGGCACGCTCACCGCAGGACGCGCAAGGAAGGAGGCACGCTCACCGCAGGACGCGCAAGGAAGGAGGCACGCTCACCGCAGGACGCGCAAGGAAGGAGGCACGCTCACCGCAGGACGCGCAAGGAAGGAGGCACGCTCACCGCAGGACGCGCAAGGAAGGAGGCACGCTCACCGCAGGACGCGCAAGGAAGGAGGCACGCTCACCGCAGGACGCGCAAGGAAGGAGGCACGCTCACCGCAGGACGCGCAAGGAAGGAGGCACGCTCACCGCAGGACGCGCAAGGAAGGAGGCACGCTCACCGCAGGACGCGCAAGGAAGGAGGCACGCTCACCGCAGGACGCGCAAGGAAGGAGGCACGCTCACCGCAGGACGCGCAAGGAAGGAGGCACGCTCACCGCAGGACGCGCAAGGAAGGAGGCACGCTCACCGCAGGACGCGCAAGGAAGGAGGCACGCTCACCGCAGGACGCGCAAGGAAGGAGGCACGCTCACCGCAGGACGCGCAAGGAAGGAGGCACGCTCACCGCAGGACGCGCAAGGAAGGAGGCACGCTCACCGCAGGACGCGCAAGGAAGGAGGCACGCTCACCGCAGGACGCGCAAGGAAGGAGGCACGCTCACCGCAGGACGCGCAAGGAAGGAGGCACGGTCAATGCAGGAGGTTGCACAAGGAAGGAGGCACGGTCAATGCAGGATGCACAAGGAAGGAGGCACGGTCAATGCAGGATGCACAAGGAAGGAGGCACGGTTAATGCAGGATGCAGGGACGGAGATCAAGGCGGGGGTAGGGATCAAGGGGGAAGGATGCAGGGACGGAGATCAAGGCGGGGGTAGGGATCAAGGGGGAAGGATGCAGGGACGGAGATCAAGGCGGGGGTAGGGATCAAGAGGGAAGGATGCAGGGCAGGAAGCAAGGCGAAAGGATGCAAGGCAGGAAACAAGGCGAAAGGATGCAAGGCAGGAAACAAGGCGAAAGGATGCAAGGCAGGAAAGAACAGTATTGAGGCGGCGGCAGGGATTAGTTTGAAATAGTGGAAGATCGTAGGAGTAGGATGGGGTTGAGTGGGAAGAAGAGGGCAGATCAACGTGGAAGTGGCAAACAACATCACAGCACGGATATAGCGTGGAAAGAGTGGATACAGAAGGCTCTCACAGAAGGAGTGAATCCCAGTGCAGCAGGATGGTGAGCACTTGACCACGTGTGGCCGACCAACCCCTTACCCTCTGGCTTTGTAGCCATCGCCCTCGAGAGGAGCACCCGCCCGCCCAACATACACACACACACTCTTCGTTCATGCAGGATCTCCTCTCCTTTCGCGTCCCCCTCGTCGCGCGTCCCCCACACCACACACAGGTTTCTCTTTCATGCCCGCTCTCCTCTGCTTTCGCCCCCTATCTCCTTTCCTCATGTGTGGACAAGCGAGGTCGCCGTCCGCCGTGCTGTTGGCCGCCGTGCCACACGACTTGGCAATGTCCACCTGGCACTGCAGCGCCAGCGCCACGTCAGCGAGGTAGAAATGCGACTCGCGCACCGTCTGCAGCGCCACCTCAGAGCGACACGCCACCCCCATGCTTCCCTGGAAGTGGCAGCAGCAGCAAGGAAAAGTGCCAGAGAAATGAACAGGGAGAGGCGTTGGGAACTACCAAGGTAGGCACCGCAGCAAGAGCAGCGCTGGTGGGTGGTACAAGGGATGGTGGCAGAGAGCCGGGAGTGCGAGCAGGAGAGCCGCAAGAGAGAGGTGATGGCACCACCGCATCCCTGCTGTGCCGGCATGAGCTGCACAGCATCACCTGCCGCTGGCGCACTCACCTGTTGCAGTCCCATGGCCTCACCTGGCCCAGGCTGGTCTACAGGCAGCGGAAGGCCTTGCCCTCGCTGGGCGGCACGCCGCGGCAGAAGGCATGCAGCTCCAACCCACACCACACGCGTTCATGAGCGAGGGCGTGAGCCGGATGTGCGATGCCTCCATGGCTGAGAACTGCAGCTCCTCGTCTCGGCACTCGGGCTTGAGCTAGGGTGGCGCTGACGAAGGCAGGAGAGCACCTCGCTGCAGCTCGCACAGCGCTCCGATGTCGTCCACACACACGCGCTGCAGCGGCACGTCCAGCATCACATCGCCCACCTCGCGCCGCTCAAAGTATGCCAGGCACTGCAGCACGCGGCCACCGCTGGTCGCTCACATCTCGCGATGACAGAGGCGTTGCACTCGGGGCATTGCAGCACGCGGCCGCCGCACTGGCCGCCCGAGGAGCCACCAGCGGTGGTGAGGGAGTCGTTCTTGGGCGGCAGTGGTGGTGAAGGGGCCGCCAGGCACTGCAGCACTCGTGCATGCAGAGGCGCTGCACGCCGCTGAAACACGCACGATTCAGCCTTGTAGTTCAGGCGGAAGTCTGTGGGGGAGGTAGAGGGGAAGGGAGGTGTGAGGGGTGCAGAGATGCGGCGTGCAGGATGAAGGAAAGAGTGGTGAGAGTTGGCTGCGTGACGGGTTGGTGGCATGTGCATGCGGTTGCACGTGTGCTATGCGTGTGTGCCACGTGTGCGGCATGTACGCCATGTGCAAGTGATGCCATGCACGTGCACTGACCGTGAGCGCTGCGCTCCTCGTCCTTCTTGACCTCCGTCTTGCACTGCTCGCCCATGTCCTCATCCTCCACGTGCTTCTGCAAACATGCTATCGTGTCGCCCCCTCCTGCCCCACCAACATGGCGACACACAGCACTGGAGGACGATGCAGTAAGCTGGTTATTTCCCCTGTCACACCAGCAGCAGAGGATGCACAGTGCGACTCAGCAGGAGAAGACGAGGCTCATAGCCATTGCCCCTCGTCCCTCGTTTGTTTATGGTGCGCGGTCCCCGTCGCCGCGCGTCGTCCTCGTCTCCCTCGCCGCGCGTCTCCCGTAGTCGCTCGCCCCACCATCGTCGCTCGCCTCCCATCTTCGATCATCTCCCGTCCCGCGCGGCCCCTCGTCGCGAGCCTCCCGTCCTGCGCGCCCCGTCGCGCACCTCCCCTCGTCGCGGGTCCCCCGTCGTCCTGCCGTGCAGCTCCTTAATCGACGCAAGATGCTTCCTTTCCCTAATCGAGCATGCTGCGCCGTTCCCTTCCTTCAGTCGCAGCCGTTGCATCGTCGCTGCCTCCCGTCGTCACGTAACCCACTGTCGTCGCGCGACCACTGTCGTCATGCGACCCACTGTCGTCGCGCGTCGCACTGTCGTCGCCCGTCTTGCTCGCGCTGCCGCGGGATGATTACCGGTGGGAGGAGTAAGATCTTCGTTGGAAGCAGCGGCACCGGCTTGAACCGTCACCGTCATGACGTCACCTTAACTCTTGCTGCTTGGACGGAGATTTCACCGTGCTCGCTCTCCATGCTCGAACGGAGATTTTGCCGTGCTCGCTCTCCATGCTCGGACGGAGATTTCGCCGTGCTCGCTCTCCATGCACGGACGGAGATTTTGCCGTGCTCGCTCTCCATGCTCGGACGGAGATTTCGCCGTGCTTGCTCTCCATGCTCGGATGGAGATTTTGCCGTGCTCGCTCTCCATGCTCGGACGGAGATTTTGCCGTGCTCGCTCTCCATGCTCGGACGGAGATTTTGCTGTGCTCGCTCTCAATGCTCGGACGGAGATTTTGCCGTGCTCGCTCTCCATGCTCGGACGGAGATTTTGCTGTGCTCGCTCTCCATGCTTGGACGGAGATTTTGCCGTGCTCGCTCTCCATGCTCGGACGGAGATTTTGCCGTGCTCGCTCTCCATGCTCGGACGGAGATTTTGCCGTGCTCGCTCTCCATGCTCGGACGAAGATTTTGCCGTGCTCGCTCTCCATGCTCGGACGGAGATTTTGCCGTGCTCGCTCTCCATGCTCGGACGGAGATTTTGCCGTGCTCGCTCTCCATGCTCGGACGGAGATTTTGCCGTGCTCACTCTCCATACTCGGACGGAGATTTTGCCGTGCTCGCTCTCCATGCTCGGACGGAGATTTTGTCGTGTTCGCTCTCCATGCTCGGACGGAGATTTTGTCGTGCTCGCTCTTCATGCTCGGACGGAGATTTTGCCGCAACGACAAGAATCGTCGCCGGCGCCGGCCGACTTTGCCTGCGACCGTTGACCGTGATCGACAAGTCAGTTTTCTTTGTGCACGGGTCTGCGGTGCTCGCTTCTGCATCCTGTGCTGCATCTGCTTCTGCCGATACTCTATGCGTGACACTTGACGTTAAACGTGTCAGGGCTGCTACAGTGATGCGCTGCTTTAAGTGCGGCTACAAATGGTGGCTATAGTCGCAACTACTGTGCGTAAGAGTAATCCGTGCAGATGATAATGACTTGCTCGTCGCACAGCTACTCAACGTGTTCACGATTCGGGCGGCATTGATAGCCTTCGGCAGTTCGCGAATGCTCGTCTTAACTTCTACAACAGCTGCTGGAGTCAAGCTGGATGCAGAAACTATCTGATACGGACTAAAACGTGATAACGTGAAAAGTTACTTAAGCTAGAACCATTCCAACACTCGTAAGTTTGCCAGCTAAGTCGAGCGATCTGGAGCACTGTATAATAGCGTCGTCAATCTGACACTATTCCGCTGCGTGATCATAACACAATCAGAAGGATATAGGAATTTGGAGGAAGCCATGGCGGTGAGCAAGTGAGGTAAGGCAAATATGAGAGCAAGCGAGCAGGAAGGGGAGGGCTTTGGCAGACAGAGAACAAGGATACAATACATGCAGTCTTGCCGTTCCTGCCCTACCAACACGGCAGGTAAAACTTTTTGCGCGGGGCTCTGATCGAAGCTCGCTCCAAGCAAGTCCAAACCAGAAGTGAGCAGGCTCGGAATCAAACCGAGGAAGCTTTACAAAATCGGAGGGAAAACAGGCTCAGCATGCCAGGCGGCGACAAGAGGTGGCGAGCCGCCTGACACAAACCCGAAGCAAGGGCTCGCTACTCCGACGCAAACTCTGCGAAACTGGTTTATTCTCGCGTAAGCGAAGATTCGCTTTTGCGGAATTTTATGATTACGCGAATACTGCTAATATATGTCCAATACATGACGTATTTGGCCTTTTGAAGCATTATGATATGAGGACTTCTTCTGTACTACATGCAATCATTTCCTTTTCCAGGACTAGATAATGGTTATAACACAGAAATGTTGAAGAATAGTGAATAATAAACATTTGATTAGACTGCGTAAATTGGATCATACCAAAACGTTTGAACTCAATTTATTCTGCCTAACTCCGAAAGTTGTCTGTGTTGAACGATATTTCATACAGTCATCCGTTACACGTTCGCTTCTTCTGATTTGCATTCAGACATCGAGAATGGGAACTTCGCCACGTTCCTTCGCGACGCTAGGATGCTGCTTGACGGGATTGCTGTCCTGTCCAAGTCGTCAAGCAAGAGAACTTCATTCTATCGAACACGCACCCCCACGCAAGTCGCATCGCAAGGCTAGCGTCTAGTTCTACAGCTAACACTCTCCTGAAGCTCGACCCTCTTGTACATACAGATCCACGCTATTCACGTCGCGAGGCTAGGCAGGATTGATGTGCATCTAACAATTCGGTCCTTCAAGCAAGCACCCGACCCCGTTAGTATACACCAGGAGAGACTCGACCTGCTAGCGTCGAGGACAGTTCCAGGAGAGAAACTTCGAGAGGCTACTTACCCTGCTAATCCGACCCGTGACTCCGCTTCTCGGATTTGAGATTCCGGTAAACTGTGTCTCTACTATGAGAGTTGAAATAAGAATGAAATCACTAAGGAATGGAATGTGGTACAAATATGCAACCCTAGAAATGTGTACCCCATATAGGCTACCCCACTACAGCCTACAGAACATTATGATTTGACACACCCCCATAGGCAAAGTGGGGGAGAACAAGGGGTCACAAGACCAGTCAAGCAGAACAAAGCAAAGCTCAGGGTGGATCACAAAGTCACCACACATTCCGAGCACAAGTTCAAGGCCAGAAGGCCAGTTCACATGCAGGAGCACACATATATATATATAAAAGGCTAAACAAGCAAGTGCAGGAGTATATATATGTGAGAGTACAAGCAAGGTCAAGAAGTGAGCAAGTGAGGCAAGGCAGGCACAAGACCAAGCTGAGTACAGAAGCGCTGATGATCACAAGACACAAGTGCCTTAGTGAAGATATCAGCAGTGTTGGCCTCACAGGCCACGTAGGCAAGTCGCAACTGACCACGCTGCTGCAGCTCACAAGCAAGAAAGTAGCGGAGAGCAATATGCTTCGTTCTGTGCTCCATGCGCTGCTCCCGACACAAGGCCAGCATGGCCTTGTTGTCTACGTACAGCACTGGAGGAGAACGAGGCGGCTCTCCGAGGTCAGTCAGCAGGTAGGTGAGCCAGCAAAGCTCCTGAGCAGCCATGGCTCCTGCGTAGATCTCAGCCTCACATCTGGAGCCGAGAACGGAAGACGAGCGAGTAGCCCTCCACGAAACAGAGCCGGAACCAAGGCTGAATGTGTAACCCTGTGACGACCGCTGTGTAGCCTGGTCGTCAGCCCAAGAAGCGTCTGCGTGCCCAGTGAGGACCACTGGACTCTGCCCTCCAAGCACTAGCCCCATGTCCAACGTTTTGCACAAGTAGCGCAACACCCTCTTCGCTGCAGCCATGTGCTCCGGTCTGTGTCTCCAAGGAGCAACATAGCGTGCGAGAATGCTAAGAGGGTATGCAAGGCCAGGTCGTGTGCAGGTCATCAGGTACATGAGGCAGCCAACAAGCTCTGGGTACGGGCCACTCGACTCTACGGACTCATCCGAAGGCAGAGCTGAGAGCGAGTGGCGAGTAGGCAGAGGAGTGGCCTGAGGCGAGGAGTACGTGAAGCCGAAGCGCTGAAGGACCTGCTGCACCATGTGTGACTGAGTCAGGGTAATGGTGCGGCGTGCTCTGTCCCGGGTGATCTGCAAGCCAAGGTAGCTGCGCAGTTCACCCAGGTCTGTGCACGTGTGTCTCTTCTGCAGCTCGGACTTCACGTGGGCGAGTCCAGCAGTGTCAGCAGTGGCAAAGACCAAGTCGTCGACGTACATGAGGATGTAGAACGGCGGCAAAGAGGTGTCGGTGCGCAGAAACAGCAACGGGTCGGCAGTAGAGGGAGCAAGCCCAAGAGCCGCAAGCGTAGTCCTCAGTGTGTCGTGCCACTCACGCAGTGCCTGGCGGAGACCGTAGACTGGCCGCCGGAGGCTCCACTGGGTGCCAGGAGGAAAAGTCCCAGTGAAGCCAGATCTCCTCGTGCAGGCTACCCTGCAAGAAAGCAGTGCTGAAGTCAAGAGAGTGAACCTCGTAGTCGCGCTGAGCGGCTATGTGCAGCAGCACCAGAAGAGTGGTCATCCTTGGGGTGGGAGAGAAGGTCTGAAAGTAGTCAACTCCCTGCCGCTAACTGAAGCCACGAGCCACGTACCGCGCCTTGAAGACAGGTGGAGAACCTGGCGGCCGCTTCACCCTGAAGATCCACATGCCACTAACGATGTTCGCCCCAGGTGGGGGAACCGCATCAACGTAGGTGCCTGTGGACTTCCAGGAAGCCATCTCTGCATCCATAGCTGCCTGCCACTGAGAGGAGTAAGGACCCTCTACGGCCTCCGCGTAAGAGCGCGGAGTCGGGATGTCAAGTGCATCCGGGTCTCCCTCAGGGGTAAGTTGTACGGACACCAGATGAGGTGAAGCAGCAGCCAGACACTGGAAAACCTCCTGCCTGTCCTCAAGGACGTCCGTGCCAAGGGCACACTCACCCCCGACGGACGGAGGACAGACAGACTCAGACTTAGCGACAAGACTAGCAGTGTAGTCTAGATGACAGCGAGCAGCAAAGTCGACGAGCTCAGCAACTAGGAGAGACGCAGCAGTGGACTTAAAAGAAGGGTCAGTGACAACAGTAGCAAGGAGACGCGTGATAGTAGGACTGGCAGCACGAAGAGAGTCCGACTCCGGGTCGGCAAGAGCAAGAAGAGAAGACTCAGGAGGAGAAGGCAAAGGGGCACGCAGAGGAGCTGTGGACGGACGCAGAGACATCCGGTGCGTGCCAGGGACAGGAGGAGGACGCTGACGCGAACTGCGACCACTAGTGAGAGCAGCACGGACAAGCGACGCAGGGCGAGACGCAGGCTCACGACGCTCAGCAAGACCTCCTGTAGGACCAGTGTAGGGAGACGAAGCAGGCAGTGGGGAGGCCGGCTGTAACTGTAACTGCGACGGGACAGGCTGTGGACACTCTAAGGGAGGAGGAGGACCAGTAGAAGACGGGAGACCAAGAACCTGCTGAAGGAGCGGAACGAAGTACGGCCGAGGCCGCGCGGCGACTCCAGACACAGCAGGGACAGCACCAGCACCCCCAGTGGCAGCACCAGCACCAGTAGCAGCTCCAGCTCCAGTACCTCCAGCAGCA